AGGATCATGACCTGAGCCGAAGGCAGTCGCTTAACCAACTGAGCCACCCAGGCGCCCTCTGCTAGAAATTTAAAACATGTTGGGGCGCCTGGGTGGCTCAGTTGGTTAAGCGTCTGCCTTCAGCTCAGGTCATGATCCCAGGGTCCTGAGATCGAGCCCCGCATCGGGCTCCCTGCTTAGCAGGGAAGACTGCTTCTCCCTTTCCCACTGCCTCTGCATTCTCTCTCTCTCTCTCTCAAATAAATAAATAAATAAATCTCTTAAAAAAGAAATAACACATGCTGATAAAAGGAAAACAACAAAGTGCAGGAACTATGGGACTATTATTATGGTCCCATATTAGAGAATCCATGATAGAAAGTCTGGTAGAGTTTCACCTGAGGAAACATTTCTCAAAATGTAGGGAAGTCATATGTAGGAAAGGCATCTGTTGTGCCAGTTGGCAGAGCCTAGCTCCACTCCTTTTCTAATCGTTTAATTTTGCATCTGTTTGTGGACTTAGCTCCAAGAGAATGTCTTCAATTTTTTTTAATAGTTGGGGGTAAGTAAAATTCACATTGCAGCCCATTTCACAAAAATCCATATTTTACGCAAGGTTTGAGTTATCCACCCTGATGTCAAGTCCGTCTTCTGTTATTTGAGATGATCAAGAAGATATCAGATACCATTAATGCAAAACCACAATTCCTCCAAAAGTTTAATTTTCCTGTTTTGGGTTTGACTCCATGTTGGAAGCAGAGCTTGATGAGTCTTGGACGTGGCCTGGTGTGTGAGAGATTGTAAAGCCCAGAGAACTGGTCCCTTTGCTAATTAGTCTGTCCTTCTCCCTCAGACTCGTCGTTCCTTTAGCCTGGTCACAGATATGAGGATTAGCAAAAATCAGTGAGGCCAGGCCCTTCTGTTGCCTGGAAACAGGCAAAGTGAACATTTATGAGTTTCTTTCCCAGGAAACAAAAGTAGAAATGTCATAGCCAGGGCCTGGCCTCAGAGCAGGGCTGTCACTTCATGGTGGAGCCGGGCAAGTATCTCTTCAGTTCCAAACTTACCCCTCAACTTTATGGGTACTCAGGGGAACCCCAAGAATGGAATAGAGGTAGAAAAATACCATCCCTAAATGGACATTTTCTAGGACTTGTACAAAGCTGCTTCTCTTTAGCTTCTCAGGGTTGTTTTTACATAGAAGAGGCAGCATTGGAGCCGATGTTCTTTGTCAAGCCAAGCAAAACTCAGATCAGGGAGGAGACCTTTGGGGTAGCAGGTGGTCCTTGGCCAAGCCTGTCACTGCTCTTGTCACTTTGAACAGGCCCATGAGCAGTCATGTAAGCTATTGTCCTGCTTCCAGATGTGCTGTTGTCTGATTTTGCTCCAACAGACAAAAGTTTATTGCCTCTTTTGCTCTCTTTACCCATTTATTCTCCTTCTTACTCTTTTGCCTGACCCCACAGCTCTCTGCATCCTGAGCTATCCTAAAAATCCAGCTGTTACCAATGTCTCATTGCTCTTGCTGTAACTTATGGCCATGATGAAAGAGAGGATATATATACATGTCTAATTGTGAACTCTGTGTGAGGCGAGAGGCCAGGGAGTTGGGGGGCTTGGGGGAGGTGAGGTACAGAGAATGGAGACTCAGTCCAGACATCAAAGGGTTAAATGAGAGCTCCCTGGAGAAAAGATGAAAACAAAGTTATTTGTCCAGGACAAGAAAAAAGCTGAGAGTGGGCTTGATTGTCTTCAAGTTTTAGCGCCTCATTGATTGAACAATAGGTGTTGAACACCACCAAGGTATGGGATATATCAGTGAGTAAAACAAACAATGACAACAAAAGATAAGTCCTTGCTCTCATGGCAAGTGTACACTGTAAAGGGAGAAATTATACAGTAAACAAAATAAAAATAAATTAGTAAATATGTTAGAAGCTGGAAAAAGAAGAAATAGTAAGGGAGATTTGGAGTATAGTTGAGCCTGTGTTGCAGTTTTAAATGGTTCTGACATTTGCACAAAGACTAGAAGCAGGTAAGGAATAAGCCATTAGCCACGGCCATTAGCCATGGAGGGAAAGGGTTCTTGGCTGAGGGAACAGCCAATACAAAGCTTCTAAGAGATTTCCTGTGCAAGACCAGCCATTCCCCATCATTGTGAAACACAGAAGTTAGAAATAGGTCTGACCCATAGCTGGAAGAAGTTTAGTTGGACCAAAGAATAACATTTACCTTGTAAATAACCTTTACTAATAAGAACCGAACATTTGTTAAAATGCTTTATTGTCAGTTCAATTTATTTGGCAATTAATCATGTACTGTCTTGTGCTGCATGTAACTTAAATCTTTTATGGACGTTTTCAGAATGTCTGTTAACGTGCCATGATCTCCCCAAGTATTTCATCAGGCCTTCAAGGGAAATGATGCCAGGCCCACTAGCAGCACCTTGTCTAATCAGTCCCCTTCCCTAGAGGCTAGAAAGCCCAGGACAGCCCTCAATCTGTCAGCAGATACCATAGGATAAAAATATCACCTAGAGACGGGGAGCCGGACTTCATCTCCAAAGGGCCCTCCCAGCCCCAAATTCCCACTCCCACTTTCCTGTGGGTTTCTGCCACTTTCCTCCAAGTAGTAACATGGGCCATGCTAAAGATATATTTAAATGCTTTTATTTGGCCTTGCCAGTTCCTTCCTGTGGCCTATAACACATGATTGTGGATTGTGTATATTGGAGAGAGGAAACTGGTTGGAAGTACTGGACATGCTGATAAAGAAGCATGTGTTCCTTTTTGCTTTCTCCCCATCACCCTGAGGCCCAGATCCGGGGATTTGTTGGCTTCTCGTGCCGTATAGGTCAAGAATTTCAGATGAATTGCTTCCTGGGTTCAGAACAGTTATAGCCCTTATGCTGGGGTCCGCTTTGGACATCCCAGAACTCTATCCCTTCTGCCACTTGGGCCAAAAATGCAGTTGTGTGGCTCCAGGCAAAAAAGCTAGTAGGAGTCAGACTCCAGTAAGCCGCACGGCACCTAGCCTGCTCCCGTGCACAGCCCTGAGTGTTTTATGTCCAGCTCTTTACTCTCTGGACAGAAAGAAAGAGAAGTGCTTGGTTTTGAGGTCTCAGGGACCCCAGTGAGCCAGTCTGAGTAGTTTGCCAGGCAGCGGGCAACAGTGAAAGAGCAGAGTCTTTGGACTCTGGTACAATAGGTTCAGATCCCAACTCTGCTACGGACTTTGTCATCATGGGCAACACGGCCTCAGTATCTTCCTCTATAGAAAACAGGGCTTACACTGCCTCCCTTGATATAAGCATGAGAAATTCCAGATGAAGCGCTGGCACAAAGCAAATGCTCCAAGAGGAGGAAATCATTAACAAGAAAGAAACTAAGAAAACAAGGGTTCTTGTAGTGGTTACACCCCACATCTGTGAGGGAGAGGGGAGGCTGCTGCATTGAAAGTTGTGATTATGGGGTGTCTGCAGTCGACCTTTCTGGCTCTGACTGGGGCTTTTGCAGGCCGGTTACCAGGGACACCTATCGGAATAATTGTAGCTTCTGTATCTCAAAGGCCTCACTTGATGTTGGTGTCTCTGAGACCTCAAAGGTTGGTTATCAAGCAAATGCCTTTCTCCTCTTGGTAATCACAGAATGGAGTTGGAAATGGAGGAAGAAAATCTCATGGTGAGCCCTTGGCCTCAAAGCTTTCATAACTCAGTTTTGCCAAAATGTCTTGTCATAAAAGTGCCAAAGTAACTTTCCTGTCAACTTAAGTGTGAAGATTTCTTGCTTTACAATGAAGAGGAACCCTCACTGTTCTTAATCTTCTGCTCAGGTTTGTCCTGAATGAGCTGGTACAGACAGAAAAGGACTATGTCAAGGATCTGGGGATTGTGGTGGAGGTGAGTATGTAGCTCAAGGTGGGTCTGCGGTCACCTAACCAGAGGCATGTTGGACCCTATCTGGGCCCAGGTGTTTTTAACTTGTGGGTTATGTGCAAATACTTCTGTGTATTTGCAGAAATGAAACTAAAAATGACAATAGATCAAATGAAATATGTAGGTTTTTTTTTTCTTTTCTCCTTGAAATATGAGAGATTCAGAGGGAGATGGGGTCCCAAATGTTGCAGCATCTGGGGGAGCCTCTTGGTTAAAGCTGAGTCCTTTCACCTTGTTTTAGGTGACCAGTTACTCTCTCAAGAGCTCTTCCTTGGCGTTTAACCATATGGACATATATTCTTCAGAGCTATGAGTCACCATGGGCACAAGCAGGGCACTCCTAGTGAAACCTTGGGGCTTAGAGTCTCCTTAGATTTTAAGAAGAATGTTATGGCTACCAAGAGGACAGACAAAGAAAAATCCACCCATAAGACAAGACTGACAAGTCCACAGTTAAGAGTCAACTTGGTGGTAAATACAACAGCGCTCTTCTTAGGGATTTACTTTAGGGGCATTTAGATTCTTGGATGAAAAAGACTTTCTCTTAAGGGGGCTGGAGACAAAGAAAGGGACCTAGAACTTCATCAGAGTTGTGTCTGTCACTCTGCATGGGGTGAAGTCCTGGCTGGACACCGAGAAACCACAGAAGAGCTTGCCCTCAGACTCCTGCAGAGAGGGGGCATTTACACGGGGGGGGCTGCGGTACATGGGGCTTGGCAAGAAAGCTTTCTCCTGAAAATGCCCCACTGACCCCTGCCTCTGCTCTACAGGGCTTCATGAAGAGAATAGAAGAAAAGGGTGTCCCTGAGGACATGCGAGGGAAGGATAAAATTGTGTTTGGAAATATTCACCAGATTTACGACTGGCATAAGGAGTAAGTGCCACGTTGTCCTGAGGACAGGGCATCCTGCGAATCCAGGACCCTCCCATCCTCCCCCTGCAGCCGACCTTAGGGGTAGGGTTGGGGGAGAGTCTGGTGTCATTCATCTCCTCACAGAGAAATAATACTGTTCTGAAGGAGGTGGCTTCCTTCCCTTATCCCCCTCCCTCCTTTTAGTTTTTTCCTGGCTGAACTGGAAAAATGTATCCAGGAGCAAGACAGACTGGCCCAGCTCTTTATTAAACACGTGAGTGCTTCCCTGCGGCCTCTGCACCGCGCCCCTCCCCGCATGCCTTCGAAAATTCCTCCCCTCTCCCGCTCTTCTCGCCACTTGCCTGCCTTCTCGCCCCTCCCTGAGGGCTTTTTTTTTTTGGTGAGATGGGCTGTTGCCTACTGCGTGTCCTCTTGCGTCCGTGGTATTTAACCGCCGGTGTCCCCAGAGCGCGGGGCGTGGGGGCCGTGGTGCTCTGAGGCGGGGCCCGCGGGGGGCGGCCGCCTGAGCGCCCGCCGTCTGCCTCTGCAGGAGCGGAAGCTGCACATCTACGTGTGGTACTGCCAGAACAAGCCGCGCTCCGAGTACATCGTCGCCGAGTACGACGCTTACTTCGAAGTAAGCTGCTCGGGCTTCGCCGAGACGGGGGCGGGGAAGCAACTCGGGCCGAGGCAGCCGCAGTCCGAAAGGCCAGCCATCGTCCAGCCACAGCTCCCCACCCCACCCCCCCTCCCAGCGCCGGGACCCCTTCCGGGGAGCCACTGGCTTGGCTCAGTTCCCATGGCTGGAGCTGAGGCGGCCCGGCGGCCCGGGTGTGGAATGACGGGGACACGCTTCAGGAGCTCGGTGCCCCCCTTCCGGGACCGTCCCCAGCGCAGGCCCGCGCCCCGCTCCTCAGTCAGGCTGTCCGCTCCCGCGGCGGAGGTTCCGTCAAGCACCTGCGAGCGTCTGTTGTGCCCCGGCCCGGAAGCGCCGCTCTGGGGGGAGGAGAGAGAGGCAAGGCTGCGCCTCGGGAAGAGCCCTCAGCCGACTGCTCGCAGATCCTAGGAGAAGCCCTTCTGACGTGACCCTGGAGCAGCAGAGGGAACGGAATACCCGCTCCGGCGTGTCCCCCAGGGCCGGAGTGAGAGGACGCGGGGTGGGAAAGTGCCCGACCTGCAGAAGGTGGCCGTTATGTGTCGTTCATAACACGTTAGCAGCTGTGTGGGCAACTCTCCCTCTCCCCCGCTCTGAGGGTTCTAAAACTTCATTAGCAAACGTGAGGGCCTGTCCTTCTCACCTTGCCCCCTAATCCCCAGGACCCCAGTCCTTTGGCTCCTTTTTCTTCTAACGTAGCTCCCTTGTGTTCCAGGAGGTGAAACAGGAGATAAATCAAAGGCTGACGCTTAGCGACTTCCTTATCAAGCCCATTCAGAGAATCACAAAATACCAGTTGCTCCTCAAGGTAAGAGAGCTGTGAGCCTGAGTCAGGGCCGGAGAAGGGTCTTCTCAGGCTCCGAGTTGGGGAGCAGGTCAGCGTGAGGCTCTGTCTCCACCACACCTTTCCCGTGAACTGGGGGGCGTCTGTGGGCTGTTACCTTGCCTTGTCTGTTACTTGTGTCAGCTCTGCCCCCAAATAAATCGCACGCATGTCATTCCTGCCTTTAAGGTTGGAGGTTAGTTCATTTTCTTTCAGTGCACTCTCTTTGTCACCGACTTGGGACCTTTACAAAATAAAAAATAGTAACATAAAATCAGAGTGACCACGAGGAGAAAGAAGAGCCAAGGCAAGGCCCTGGAAAGCTTAGATGAGTAATACCTAAAATTTGATCATATTTTACTTTTTAAAAATGGTTTAATTGGGTTTGTCTTATAGAATTTGAGGTAAATGGAAGAGAGAGATTGAGCTTTCCTTTCTCCCAGCCTTTCTGGACATAACCCCCCCCTCTCTTCATGCTTACAGTCTCCTTCTCACGTCTTCCCTCCCTCCCCGCCCCCTTGCTTTTCCCACAGCTTTTAATCTTTGAGTATTTGGGGGTTTTTCTCCAGTTGTTTCCAATATGACTCATAAGTTCGTATCTCAGCTTCTACAACGCAATGCCGTGTCTGTTGGGGAGGAAAGTTGTCTGGGTGTCATCGGAGGTTTTATGATGCTGGATTTTTAATAGTGCTCTATTTTCCTAACTGATGTCACCATCCTGCACCCTTCCCCGCTCCCCCCACTTGCTAGGACTTCCTGAGATACAGTGAGAAGGCTGGTTTGGAGTGTTCCGATATCGAGGTGAGTCTTCTGCTTGCAACACTGGCTGTTCTCGGCGACAGCGTTAGATGTGTGTCTCTAAGGGAGAAGAACTGGCTCTCGAGGACCAAGGGTCCAGGCAGAGTCCTCTCAGTGAGAGCCCCTTGCAAGCAGCTGCTCGACAGGATGGGGAATGGCAAATAGTAATAAACACTGAGTGTTTTTCTATAACCCGAGAATTCTGTCCTGGGACAGACCAGAGTTTCACCCCACTCGTGTTCTCCATGTGGCTCCAGTGACATGGTGGGAAGGGGGGGCGGGTATTTGAGTCCTCTAACATCCTTCAGAGATTCAGTGTTTCAGTGTGCAGTTTCATCCATGAATCCAGGTACTATTTGAGTTCAACACATAAAATATCCTGTTTTCACTCCCTCCCCTACCCCTGAGGATTACTCCCTAAGTGAAGTCCTTTGAGACAATGTCACCATGGGGATTATTATAAGCCGGAGAGGTTACAGACCATTCTGGCAGGTTATTTTAGGTTAAAACCTATAGTGTTTCACAAGCCAGGCTAAGCTGTTGCTTAGGCAGCCAAGAAGCAACAGAGAGAAGAAAGAAAATATGAGAAGGAAAGAGAATTGCTAAATAAAAGTGGGAAGGAGGAAAAGGCTGGCTGGGTAGCCTCCCCACATGTGGTCACTGATTCACATGGGGCCCTGCACTGAGGACCAATACCCCAACAGAAAATCCCATACTGCTCTAGGAGTGGGCTCCATACTGCTCTACCAGTGTCCTTTCCTAGAATCAGGGAGCCCCTAGGAGGTCCCTGTCTTCCAGCACAGAATTGCCCTAAGCTTCCTGCCTGAGTGCTCATCCTGCTCCTGAGCTGCTATTGTTCTCTCCCGCAGAAAGCCGTGGAGTTAATGTGCCTTGTTCCAAAACGCTGCAATGACATGATGAATCTGGGACGCCTGCAGGGCTTTGAGGTGAGCCCTTAAGGAATGCTTCCAAGCCTTCTCTCTTCTGGACAACAGGAGCTGGGGCAATGAGGCAGCTTCCCTTTGAAGCCCTGTGCCCACCTCCTCTGCCGCCTCCACTCACCATCTGTGCCTTCATGCCAGGCCCCTCTGGCTCGTGGGCCCAAAAGATGTATCTATTTAGGATGTCCAGTAATAGGGCAGTCAGAGGAAGCTACAGAGCAGTCTACCAAACTGGAGTCACAATTCCAAGGGGGTTGGAAAGACCCAAAATTCCTTATAACTGTGGACCTGGCAGTGACCTCTTTGCTTTGCTTTCTTGCTTGGGACGTGAGTGCGGGGAATGTGAGGGAGAGTGGGACTAGGGGATGGAAGTAGCACCAGAGGGAAAATGGAACACTTTTTCTTTTTCTTTCTTTTTTTTTTTTTTTGAGAGAGTGGTTCTAGGTCTACATAATGGCTGGCTTTTTAGTTAAATGAACATTTAAAGCTTTAAAACGTGTGCATATTTCTATTCTTTGAAAAAGAGAATCAAGTCTTAGGAGAAACAGCTAGATGTCCCCAGAATGTTGGCTTCAGTGAATAACTAGTTTGCTAGGGCTGCCATAACAAGTCCCACAGACTGGGTGGCTTAAACAACAGAATTTATCATCTCACTTTTCCAGAGGCAAGGAGTCCGAGATCAAGGTATAGGCAGTGATGGTTTCTCCTGAGCGTTGTGAGGGACAGATCTGTTCAGGCCTGTCTCCTTGGCCTGTGAATGGCCATCGTCATGTTCACATGGCATTCTTCCTGTGTCTTCACACTGTCTTCCCTCTGTACATTTTTCTATGTCCAAATTTCCCCTTTTTATGAGGACACCAGTCATGTTCGAGTAAAGCTCACCCTAATGACCTCACTTTAATTTGATGCTCTCTGTAAAGATCCTGTCTTCCAATATGGTCACATTCTGAGATACCCGGGGTCAGGACTTCAACATATGAAGGGGGTGGAGGTGGAGCAATTCAACTCATAACAGTGAACCTTTGAAGAAAAAATGGACTTTCCTACCATAACCTTGATAAGTGGCTGCCATTAGTTTATATCCAAACCTCATATGCTACATATAATCTGTTTTGGATATTAATATGATAAAATTGGAACTGACACAATTATTGACTGGCATTTAATAATTGTTGAACCCCTTAGAGAAAGATGTGGATCTTCTCATCCTGTTTCCTGGTAATTCTGCAACCTAAGATTTTATTATTTCTTTCTAGAGAAAAGGGGTTCCTAGAAGTTGAGATAATAAAGAAATAATAGTGTTCCTCCCCCCCCCCCCGGCTAAATTAGGATAGAATAGAATAGAATAGAAATAAGGCAGAGTGGTCTATAAGTAAATTTAGGAGATGCTACATTCAGGTTTGGGTTACTGAGTTGGATTCATAATGTTCTTGAGCCCAATTCTCTTGTCCTCCTTGCCCTCCCAGCCCTTCCTGGTATCCCTGTCTGCCACTGCTTTGTTCCTGTGACCAGGAACTATGTGGAGGTTTTTCTTTACTGTTTATTTTTCATAGATTCCCGGTTCTCTATGGTAGACCTGAGGCATTAGAGCAAGCAGGGGTTTGCAGCAGAAATATACCCTGAGTTCCTTTTTTTTAAAGATTTTATTTATTTATTTAACAGAGAGAGAGACAGCGAGAGAGGGAACACAAGCAGGGGGAGTGGGAGAGGGAGAAGCAGGGTTCCCGCTGAGCAGGGAGCCCAATGTGGGGCTCGATCCCAGGACCCTGGGATCATGACCTGAGCTGAAGGCAGACGCTTAACGACTGAGCCACCCAGGTGCCCCTATACTCAGTTCTTACAGCTTTTCACTAGTCATACTGGATGAAGTTTTACACTTTTTCCCTTGGGGCTATGCTAGGTCTGAAGCTATTCTGAACAAACCAAGTAATTCCTTTTGCTCTTAAGCCTTGATGTCCACAAGTTTCTGAGGAGGAGTCTGGCTTGACTTTCTCTGGGTCTTTGGAGGCACTGACCACTGACAGGAAATCAGCATCTGACTGTGCTAACTCATGTTAGACTCCACAGGAACTGCGTTGTGCATGCACACGTGTGTACACAGAAGGCCAGACACAGACTGCAGAATTATCTTCTCTTTTCAATCAAGCACCACCATCTCCTTTTTCCATCAAGTCTCAGAGAATCTGCTTTGCATTCCTTCAGCTAATTAAGAAGGACCATGAACATCCTCTGTCCCTTCTGAAGTCCAGGGCTTTGGGCCTGGGAGAAGTTTGCCTCCTCACTTAGATTCTCTCTCTTATAAATCCTCTAGCCTTCCCTTCAGTATTGGCAGGGCTATAATTCATGGGTCAGGCTCTTACGTAATGTTAATAGAGCTTTTAGAGCTTTCCTGGCTAGCTGGTCACTGGCTTAATATTAACTTTGGACCAGGGTAAAGATAAGCCTGTTTGGCTGGTGACCTTGACAGTAAGGAGCCATGATCCAAGCAGAGGGCAGGTGTTTCTCGGGAATAGAAAAGAAAAATGACCCCTGTGCTGGGTACTGTTTGGAATAAGGCATCATGTGCAGAGAATGGCCCACATTTTTACTAAAGGGCAAAAGTCATCACCTGAGAGAGTATGGTTCAGAGGAGGCCCTCTAGCTGCTATCAGATATCAGGTGTCAGCGTGTTCTTGCTGCAGAACAGCAGGGAAAGCAAGGCTCTCCAATCACATCTGTGAAGACCTGCTGGGTTGGACCTCATTCCCTTTGAAGATGTGAAGATATCTCTGAAAATCAAACCAAATAGGCTCCCCCTATGTAGGCTGGCAAGTGGCCTGCTAGCTCAAAGCATTTTAAGAAGGATCTCAACACCCAGAAAAATATCTACCAGCTTGTAAAACATGGACACCTGTATATGGTACTCCAGCTGTACCTGTTGATCGGTAGCAGGAGACTAAGACTTCAGAATTAGACTAATTCTAACTAAGACTCCATCCTCAAATAATAGAAGGAGATGAGAGGAGCCCAACTCATTAAGATTACTTGCATTCCTGCCTACATCACTTCCCTTGGCCACAGGTTGGTTCTAGGTTCATGACCATAAGAGTACCCGAGGTCCTTGGCCCATGCTGCAAGGGAGCCAAGCAGACAACATTTCTCAGAGCTTTGAGGACAGAAAGGCTACAGGTGTCACCCACTTTCTGTTTTCCTTTTAATAAAAAATAAGAAGAGCCAGGATAATTCCTGAACATCTTTCTAGCTAATGATTTTATCTTCCTCCCTTCTGGCATTTTCTTAGAGCTGCTTCTTTCCTAGTGGTTTCCTAGCCTTCTTTCCCTCCCCCTCCCCCCCCCCACCCCCAGGGATCTGTGTCTGCCCCATCTGAATGGATCGGTCCTAATTCAGTCTCTTACTAGTGTCCTGAGGCTTTTAGTGTCAGGTCTGCTGTCTGTGTCCTCAGGGGGGCCAGTCTTGTAGGCCCAGAGGGCTGTGGCCCCCTCCCCATTTTTCACTTCCTTCACCCCAGCACTTGCTTCCATCAGGGCACCCTGACCGCGCAGGGGAAGCTGCTGCAGCAGGACACGTTCTATGTGATTGAGCTGGACGCAGGCATGCAGTCCCGAACCAAGGAGAGGCGCGTGTTCCTCTTTGAGCAAATCGTCATCTTCAGTGAACTGCTAAGGAAGGGATCACTCACCCCGGGCTACATGTTCAAAAGAAGCATCAAGGTAAGGCTCCCAGTGGGGATGACCGAGGGCAGGGAAGAGCCAGTCCTGGGAGCTGCTTCCCAAAGACAGACACCTGGAGTGATGAGTATGGATTCAGAACGTTGACAGTCTTTCAGCCAAAGAAGCTGTGGGTTGAAGGTTAAATATTTTGAGAGAAAGAGACAGGCTGAGAGTAGGTCCTACAGATCCTGCAGGTTCTCCAGGATCATGTCATTCACTCAGAGTCAGAAACCAAAGGATTTAGCTATTAGACCCAGGACAAAATTTTGGGAATATCTCCTGAAATAAAAACTTGGAGGAACTGTAGTATGTTGTTGATTTTTTTTTTTTTAAACCACTTAAATATGAAAAGATTGAACTTGGTTTCTTCCAGATGAATTACTTGGTCCTGGAGGAGAACGTGG